TTCATATTTTATCTTTTTGTAATTTTTCCAATGCCACCACCCTAACGACACTGCTCTCTCTGAGGTCACCAATGACCACAGAACTGTTAAATTTGATTGTCTTTTTCTCAGCAATTATCCTTCTTGACCTTTCGGCAGCATTTAATACTGTTCACCATCTTCTCCACTTGCATACCCTCTATTCTTTCTCCTGGTTTTCTTCTTACCTCTTTGGCTGTTCCTTCTCAATTCCTTTATTGATGTATTCATCATTTTCCTCCCACATCTTAAGTGTGGGTATCTCCCAAGAGACTATCTCCTCTTTGCTTTCCTTCAGTGACTTCAATTATCATCTCCATGAAAACGCCTCACAAATCTAGTAATCCAGATTTCTTCTCTGAGTTCTTATTCCATGTCTCTAAAAAAATCACCTGATGTCAACATTTCAGGAGAGCTTAGTTTTCCAGTCTTTATTCACACAACTCTTCCTTCTACTCGTATTACTTACATTTCTACCAAAAGAATTTACTAGCTGTTCCTTGAACTCTTTCTTCACTCTCCACCCCTAAGCATTGGTGAAGACTTCTAGCCATATCTGAAATGTACTTCCTTCTCATTTCCCCCTTTCCCATTAAAATCTTTATGCTCCTCTATAATTATAGTTCAGGGGTCACTTTAAGAAAATTTCCCCCTTCTTCAGGTTTAATAATCAATCAAAAAAATTTTTCATTAAATGCCAGGCACTGTACTAAGCCTTGAGATACAAAAAGAGTCAAAGATAGTCCTTCCCCTCAAAGAGTTCAAAATTTAATGGAAAACACAAAAAATAAATATGTATAAATAAGCTATATACAGGATAATTAGGAAATAACTAATAGGAGTGATATATAATAAATAGGAAATAATTAATTTTAGTTTGGACTTAAAGGAAGCCAGTAGGGAATGAGCAGGGACAACATTCCAGGCATGGAGGACGGCCAGAAAAAATGCCTGGAGCTAAGAGATGGAGTATCTTGTTCTTGAAAAGCAAGGAAGCCAGTGCCATTGGAATGAACAGTATGTGGAGAGTATAAAAAGGCTGGAAAGGTAAGAGGTGCCTACGTAATAAAGGACTTTGAACACCTAACAGAGGATTTTATATTTGATCCTGGAGGCAACAGGGAACCATTGGAGTTTACTGAGAAGGGTAGGGTGACATGATCAGACCTGTGCTTAGAAAAATCAATTGTGTAGCTGAGTGGAGGATGGATTGGAGTGGGAAGAGACTTGAGTAGGTTACTGCAAAACTCCAGGTTCAAGGTAAGGCAGGCAGAGGTAATGAGGACCTGAACCAGACTGGTAGCAATGTTAAGGGGAGAAGGGGTGAATGATTTGTTTGTATCTCTTATTTGTTCCCATTAAATTCTACTATTCTGAGTGTGTTATACTTCCACATTAAACTGTAACTAGTGCAGGTATTATGTAATTTTCTTCAACTCTGTATATACGCCTGCTGTCTAATATGTTAGACATACTAGTTGTCTAAAAAAATATTTATAGTGTGGTATGGTATATAGAACGCTGGTCTCGAAGTCAGGAAGTAAGTTCAAAACCCACTCAGATACCCACTAGCTTATATTCTAATGAGGTAAGCTGGAAAGTGGGGAGAGGGAACTATGATGGTTGACAGCATGGTCTGGATTTAGCTAGGAAGTGACACAGAGGCCCAGTTCCAGGCAAAATAATGTGAAAGTTCACCCATCAAGATATTTGGAGAGGGATTTAATATCGTATTACAGAAAGAGGATGATGATCAGAATATAGGCTTCCTGGTACAAAGATAGCTAGGAAGATTGTAGCAGTCAGCTGATGATAGGACTACATGACATGTACTTCTTTGTAAGGGCATCCCATGGAATACGATTTTAAAATTCCTAGGAACACCTCCAGAAAGTTCTTTCAAACTGAGATGGCCTATGTCTCTCCTTTTAGAATTCTGCTTTCCTTCAGAGTAAGCCTCTCCCTTTCTTTCTCAAGCTTCTGCACTTGGGCACTCGGGAGCCAGTATTGCAACACATGGAGGGGTTAAGAATGACAGCAAGTCTTCAAAGGCAGCAGCCAAGGCAGCCTAAGAAGATCATGAGGATGAGATCAAAGAATCATGTTGTTGACAATAATAATGAGGAAACTCTTTTAAAAGAAAAACTAATGTTATGAATGTTTGGTACTAGATCACAAACCCTTCTAGGACATTAAAAATGATTCAATTTATGAAAGTTTAATTTTCAAGCAACTTTTTAGGAAGACAATTACTATGCAAAGACACTCTACCCATTTAATAAATGTTTGTAGCATGACTGATTGATCTCTCCCTGATAAAGGCTCAATTTGAGTGACTCTACTGGATGTTATAATTCAATTCAAGCAATATAAAAATCTCAGAGAAAGTAATTTATTTTTCTTGTATCCACATCCCTTTCTCCAATTCCTATAACTTCTTGAACACACTCCTGAAGAACACAGATTGCTTTGTTTTTTGTTTTTCTTTGCACTCCCAGTTTAACATAGTACCTGGCACACAGTAGGTGTCTAACAAGTGCTTGTCCATGGGTTTCTTTCTTTCTTTTTTTTAATTTTCATGCAGTTCTATTTTTTGTTTCTTGGACTTTATGGTATCCTATCTACCTATAATTATGCTGCCAGAGGATAAGATGCTGCCAGAAAGGAGCCAAGAACAGCCAAGATTTCTGTGGTCTGGAGGAAGAACTAAGATAGAGGGTATGGAGCACTTGGCAAACTTCCCTCTACCTCATGCCTGGCATAACACACAAGGACAGATACCCAAGAGTCTGATTTGCTTTCAGAGGCATTCCCTAAGGTATTATCATTACACTGGCCACCGAGCTAAGGGTGCCAGCCTAAAAGAATAACACAGGAAAGGCATAGAAGGATCTTTATGTAACTGCATTTTTTAATCTATCCCTTAGTTCTCAAAAAAATCACCAGAAACAAATCAACACAAGTCATGACAGCTAGATGCTACTTTAATTTCCTTGTCTGGAAACATGGTCCCAGTTGCAGAGGAAGCAAAATTCGAAGTTCTTGCATAATTATCATGAATTGTTAACAAAAACAACAGAGCACGATCTCATAGGATCACAAATCTAAAACTGGAAGGAAGATAGATCTTTGAGCCTACCTAGTCCAATCCTTTCACTTTACAGATGAGTAAACTGAGGTCCAAGGAGAAGGAATCTGAACCCAGGTTCCATGATCCCAGAGATAATTTCAGTTTTCTGACAGGAAAAATGTTGTGAAAGCTACAGAAAATTATTGGACTTAAGAACTACAAAGGACATCATATCTGGAGATATGTATCTTGGATTACAGAGAACTTTTTTTTCAATGCTTTGAAAACTGTATCTTGGATATCATTGGTTTCCTTTGTAATCATATATTTTATTTTATACATTTAAAAACATTGTTCCGAGATTACAAAAAAAGTTTAAGAATCCCTGATCTAGGCCAAACCCACTCATTTTACAGATTAAAAAATTGTGGCCCAAAGAAGCTAAATGATCTGCTTCTAACTCAGACTTTCTGAATGAAAATTAAATACACTTTCTATCTATGCCACATTCTGTTGTAGCTGCAAATCAAAATCCTTACATGGGAATTTTTCTTCATTATGGAATAGGAAACTCTCTTAGTAAGTATCTTTTAAAGCTACATCATGTAAAAATGCCTTTTGCTTCTTATTTAAATATCTTAACATATATCCTTATTTCCGCTTGCTACGTTTTTGAACATTCATTGTGAGCAGATGCCACTTTTTCATATTGTAGTGCTTTTCATACAATACTTTGTGCTTCTGGCTCTTTGTTTTAATTTTTTCTCTCTCTTGCTTAATACATTAATAAAACTCTGAGGAACTAATATATAAAGTATCTCTTCCTTGAAAATGTTAGTGAAGAAAGTATTTATTTTATCTCTCTCTCCAAATGTACACATCTACGTAGCTGGATGCACACTCACCCATAAGGCTCAGCATAGGGACATATGGGTTTTCATCACCTAAAGGATGAAAGGAAACAAACTAGACCAAAAAGCACAAGGGACACTAAAGAGAAGCTAATCTAATCATGCTCACCAGTAGAATGAAGTGTTTTACTCAAAATAAGATAGTATGAGGTAGGGATGCGTTCCTTGATGGTGAATGGAAGCAAAGGGCTGAAGGAGATGGAATGGGGGAGTGAAAAGCTGACTGGATTTGGAGTTAGGAGACCCAGGTTTAAATTCCAGCTGAGCCACTTATTGCCTGTGTAGCTTTGAACAAATTGCTTAACCTTGCTGGGCTTGTTTCCTTGTCTGTAAAACGATTGTGTTGGACCAGAAGGACTCCCAGGTCATTTACAACTCTTAATCTATAATTCCTTTGAACCTCATAGAAAATGAAAGAGTTCGCTCAGTGATGTGCTGCTGCCAAAATGGAAAATGCTAGATATTTGCGTTTTCTTCATTCCATCAAAAAAAAAATAATAACTTTTTAAGAAGTTGCTCCAAACAAAGTTTTTCCCTTCCCTGTAGGATATTATGAAACAAATTCCATTGTAACAAACCTATTTTATTATTTTGAAATACTGTAGCATCAAATGCTAAGAGCAGCTAGATGGATAGAGCCTGGAGTCAGGAAAACCTGAGTTCAAATCCAGCCTGAAATACTTACTGGCTGTGTGATCCTAGGCAAGTCACTTAACCTTCTATGCCTCAGTTTCCTCATCTATGAAATGAGCTGGAGAAAGAACTGGCAAACTGTTCTAATATCTTTTTCAAGAAAATCCAAAATGGGGTCAGGAAGTGTTGAACATAACTGAAACAACCGAACAACAACAAAAGTATCAAATACTAACTGAAATAAGAAATGGCTAAAAATAAGGATTTCTGCCGGTGTAGTATCCAAATCCAACCTGCAGCAAACATCTTCCGTTATATACTTTCTATCTTTATCATGATCTCCAAAATGTTTAAAAGCAAACACTTACGGTTGACAAAGTTTCACCAGGTCCTGATCTGTGGTATTGGGAGGCAGTCCTCTGATATAAAGGTTTGTTTTGCTTAGTTGATCCCACCCTGAACTGCTACTGTTGCTACTGTTGTTATTACTGCTGGTGGTACTGGGGCTGGGAGGAGCCATTGGGTGGGCTGGCACAATAGACTGCTGGAAAATTAAGAAGTAGCATGTTAGAACCTAGTAAATAAAAATTAAAAGACACTTGCAGTAATGATCACAATGACAGTACAAGGGCCATTTAATTTCTATCTTCAATAGTTTTATCACCTTTTAAATATGAGTATAGTTCAATTTTCAAAAAAAAAAATCAGGATGTGGCGATCTGGATGTATACACTTTACCCAAGAGAGCACTCACTTCACAGAGTTATTCACTGTAAGAAACCTCTAAATAGCAAGTTCCTTTGATGCCTTTAAGCATGTAATTCAATCATAAAATATTTTCAGGAATATTGTGTATTTATTGTATAATGTGACATCTGTATATTGAAACTCAGATTTAATTTACTTGTATGAAGCTAATATACAATTTAAAAATAAGATTCCCTTTTAACTTTAAGTGACCATACAATGAAAAAATTTTAAAAATATATCTAAAAGCGATGATTTAGGGATAATTTTGAAGCTGTTTATTGTAACAGAAGGTCAATTTTTACCACCACAAAGGGTTCAACTAGTTCTATGGCAGGAATACAAAATCATTCAGACATCTGGAGAGGGTTCACAGTTCTACTAACTTTCTACCTCCCACTCTCCTCACCCCCTCAAATCTGGCTAAACTTGTGAAATGTAACTTGTGAGAACTTTGTTGTAGTTGGCAACAAGCCTGGGCTTCTCTCTCAGAGACAAACACAACAATTACTAAGAACAAAGCCCAGGACCCAATGCAGTTTTACACTCAGCAGGCACCCAGGAAGAATGTCTGAAATCCTCCACGTTCCAAATCTTCTCTGGACTGTATTGCTGGCAAGGTCTCCTGACCCTGAGCTGCTCTGAAGAATTTTAAGAAAGTCTTAAGCAGTTTATGCTGCAAATGCATGTGTGCAACCCTAAGTCTCAAGGTAATTAGCAAAAAATGTTAGCTGCTTTATACTAGTAGAGAAACTGCCACCTCCCTAATGCTCTTCCACATAAAGTCACTCAGTCAAGAAGAATGCAAAACTAAATAGTCAATGAACTTCCAAGAAAAAAATTGTTCAAATTTATAGTGTAAATTCCAGTCTTTTCCCTAGCAATCCTCTTTCTGGCTGCTAGGTAGCTCAGTGTATAGAATACAGAAGATCTGAGTTCAACCCCTGACTCAGAAATCTACTAGTTGTGTGACCCCAGGCAAGTCATTTAGCCTCTGTCTAAATCAGTTTCTTCATCCATAAAATGCAGATAATAATAGTATCTACCTCCCAGAACTGCTGTGAGAATCAAATGAGATAATCTTTTCAAAGTGCTTTGAAAACTTTAAAGTGCTTTATGTTAGCTAGGAGTAGTAATAGTAGCTGCAGCAGCAGCAGGTACTACAAATAACTTACTAAAGAATATGTAAGACACGCATCACTTTATTTTGTGGAACAAACTAAAACAATAACAAAAAATCAAACCTTGCAGTAAAAGTACTCTTGCTCAGTCTGACTTTATGCCACATATTTATGCTGCCTAAGTTCTTCTATCCATTCCTTGAGTTATCCATATTTGAATATTTCTTTTCACCATTCAATCTGGTCCTACATTACCCAATTCTTTCTTTCTACCTCTAAGGGAATCTTCTTTCCATGATCATAACTCTTCATCTGTAAATGAAGGCTTAACAGACTCTTAGGCCCCTTCTAGATCTATGATCAAATTTCTTCATATCCACAAGTTTTTTCTTTTTTTCCCTTTTTATTAATTTATTTTGATTTATGAACAATCACTTCCATAAGCTTTTGAGTTTTAAATTTTTCTCTCCCTCTTCCCCCACCTCCCTCCCCAAGACTATCTGATATATGCTATACATATACATTCCTATTAAACATATTTTCACATTAGTTATGTTCTAAGTAAGAATTAGAACCAATCAGAGAACCACCAGAAAGAGGAAACAAAACTCAACAGAAGGGAAAAAAAATAGCAAATAGTATGCTTTGATCTACATTCAAACTCCATAGTTCTCTCTTTGGATGTGGACAGCATTTTCCGTCATGAAGCCTTTGGAGATGTCTTAGATCCTTGTATTGCTGAGAAGGGCTAAGTCTATCAATATTAGTCATCACACAACATGGCTGTTACTGTGTACAATGTTCGCTTGGTTCTGCTCACTTTATTCAGCATCAATCCATACAAGTCTTTCCAGGTTTTTCCGTAGTCTGCCTGTTCATCATTTCTTATAGCACGATAGTATTCCATTACATTCATATACCACAACTTGTTCAGCCATTCCCCAATTGATGGGCATCCTCTCAATTTCTAATTCTTTGCCACCACAAAAAGTATCATCATCGTCACCACTCACACTGCTATAAATATTTTTGTTCATGTAGGTCCTTTTCACACAAGTATTTTCTTAAAGGGGTTAGTAATAACTTAATTCAACAAGTATATATTATATAACTTCTATATGCCAGGTATCGTGCGAGAGATGAGGTGGAAAGACAGTCACTTGAAGTGCCAGGAAGAGCTGGGTTCAAGTCTTGCCTCGGATAAAGTATCTGAGGCTGGGTTTGAACTCAGGTCTTCCTGACTCCAAGGCCCAGCCCTCTATCTATTTAACCACCTCAAGACATGTAGGAAATGATGGAACGTCATATGTAAGGGAACAATAAGTAAAGCAGTTTAGCTTAAATCCAGAGTGTTTACATAGGGAAGTAATATGAAACCTCTCTATAAAGCTGTATGAATGCCACACTGTGAAAGGCTTTGAATGCCAAAGGAAGAAGGTATTGTTTTAACCTAGATGTAATAAGGAGCCACAGATGCTTCCTGAAGACATTTACAAATCATTTCAAAGATCACAAAGTCCTCTCCTCAAAACAATCCCATGAACTATGTGGACCCAGTCAGAGTGGTTGCATGATTTTCTTCATCTTTGCTCAGCAGCACCTGTGTAGAAGTGAAGGTCATGAATGATGTGAGTGATTCAAGACTACAGCCTGGCAGGACCTAAGCGACAACAGAGGAAGGGGACCAGGGATTCAAGACAGGAGAACAGTATAGAGTTGAACTGGTTCAACAAGGGGTCAAGCTGGGGAAAAGAAGAAAAAGTAGCCAGTCAAAAACATTTATTAAACACCTACAGTGTACCAGGCACTGTGCTAAGCACTGTGGATACAATTATAAAAAAAGAGACAGTCTCTGCCCTCAAGGAGCTTACAATCTAATAGAGGAAGACAATGCACAAATGAAGCTGAAAAGAGAGGGGGAAAGAAAGAGGGTGGTGTAACCAGGATTATGGAAGGGATGAAGGAGCCTGGCGGAGAAGTCAGAGATGTCCCAGGGTAGTGTAATGCAGCCAGGTGAGCACTGAGAAGTTCTGAGCTGGGCTAGTGAAGAGGAGATGGCCAGGGAAAGAACTGAAGGGTCAAGGGATTGGAGGGCACACTGCAGATAAAGAGTAGGATTTTGTAAGGGAAGACAGAAGGAGAGGTGACCAATCTCATCCACACCACCTATTTTAACCATTATCTCTCTGTGGATTTCCTTAAGTTTAGGTGTCGAGCTTTGATCTCTTTTGTAACCTCATGCCCTGTATTACCAACAGCTTACTGACACCTCTACCTGCAATAGTCTTCAAGTATCTTAAACACACTATATTTAAAACTGAACTTCTCTTTTCTCCAATGCCTGCTCCTCATTTTGACTTCTACTGTCAAAAGTGCTAGTACTCTCTCTTTAATTTGCATTTAAAATTTTGGTGTCAACTTTTGAGTCTTCCTTCTTAATCTCTCATACATCTTATCAGTGGCCAAGTCCCTAGATTCTACCTCTGCAGTGATTTGCATCAAATTACTGATCTTACCCACCTAGACAATTAAGATAGCTTGATAAACAGTCCCTTCTGTGGTGCAGTGGACTTGGGAGTCAGGAAAACCTGAGTATACACCTTACCATAGACAGTTACTAACTGTGAGATCCTGAGTAAATCACTTAATCTCTGTCTGCCCAGTTTCTTCATTTGCAAAATGGTTGTTGTGATGATAAGTTGGGATAATATTTGAAAAGCACTATGAAAAACTTAAAGTGCTACATAAATGTTAAATTGTCATCACCACCACCACCACCACCACCTCACACTGCTAGATTCATTTTCCTTATGCAGAGGTTGAATCATTTCATTCCACTCATTCTATTTCTTAAAGAAGAGAAATCCCCAAAGTCCTTAACCTGACATTCAGGACTCTCTATAAGGTGGGGAAAGCATGCACTGTGGGTTCAGGAGAGCTGGGCTTTGCTTACTACCTCTGTAACTTTAGGGAAGTCATTTAACCTCTCTGGGTCTGAGTTTCCTCTTTGTAAAAATAATTAAACTAGGTGAACTCGAAGGTCCTTTCTACCTCTAAACTCTGATCAATATTCTACTCTCTATGACCTTTATAGCTTTCCTCACATCCTATACCTCCCTGCACTCCCTCCATGTGTCTTAAATTCCAATTAAAATGACCAAATTGCAACCTGCTATGAAGAGATTTGACCAAAACTAGATCAACCTCCAAAATGACAAGCTCAGCTGCTTATCAGTCTTCTGTATGGTTGCCATATAACCCTTGGACTTCAGTTGTATCAAGTAGTAGAAATTAAATACACAGGAAAACTTTCTGAATCTATTTCTCCTATTTTTTTTCTCAGCAGGAATGAAGAAAATACATTCACCATGCACCACATAATAGGCTTGTTGGAAACATTTCAAAGCATAACATTTATAAGCCTCCTAAGCTCTGCACACATTAGGACTCAGTAAGTATCTATTGACTGATAACTGATATCCCAGTCTTTCCTACTCTTCTCTTTTCTGCTCAAACTCTTCAATTCCTTTGTCTTTTTGCTAGGGGTTGTATTATCCAAACTTCACTTTAAAGAGAAAGGAGATAATAAGTACAAAATATCCCATCATACACCCTCCCAAGTTGTACATTTCCTTAAATTACTTTAGGTTTGCACTAAATAACATTTTTATAGAAC